ATTATTATTATTATTATTATTATATTGTTGTTTATAATTTTATTTGAGAAACTTCTGGTGATACAAATAAGATCCTACAAGAACTTCAAATTAACGATACAGCCATCAGACTGTAATGTAAGGTTTGTGAGATTGGTCACATGACCTGAGACCATATATTAAATCAAATTTACAATACTACAGTTAAAGTAATGTTGTGGTACATGTACTTTGTAATAAATTGCAGCACAATTTACTGTCAGACAGTTAGGTAAAGTAATATAATCCATTAGTCCTGTTTTCATTCAAGTAAAAGTAATCAGTTTTTCATAACTGCACTACACAATTGGTTTAGCAAAACTTGCACCAATTTTTCATTCAATCAGCAATAAAACCAAAACCAATCATGACTCAATCACACATGTTGTCCTGCACTTCACATCAACAGCTACATGTATTTACTTAAAACTGAGTTTTGATTGGTTCACTGTATTCTGTGTCCTTTATGATTTGCTAGCGTGATTACTTGGTTTTGGTTTTACGACACTCAGTTGATAACTGCTCTACATGCAAGTAAATGCAGACGCTATAAACAACAGTAATTATATAGTAGGTACTGTGTGTCCTGGAAAAGAGTTTTCAAAATTGAAGGCACCTTGGTGTCTGGCTGGAGTCTTCCCTGTCTTGGGACTACTATATAAACTATATCTGTGCTAAAGCTAATAAAGTTCTAGGTTTGATAAGGCGAACCTTTGGTCCAAACAATCCTGAAAAAGTTTCAATAGCATATAAGACTTAAGTACATCCAATTTTGGAATATAGTTGTCAGGTCTGAAATCCATATTTAGTGAAACACATTAAAAGTATAGACTGAGTCGATACAGAGGCGAGCCACTCAAGTCATTTGTGGATCAGAGAAAGAATATCTGGAGAGACTTGGGGTCCTGAAATGGCTTTCGTTTGAGTTACGAAGGAAGTTTATCTGCTTAGTGCAGATGTACAAGATTATTTTCGGACACTGTGACATAGATCCTCATATGTTTTTTGATTTTAATGTATTAGCGAAAATCGCTACATAGCTGACTGGAACGATATTCCATCGAACATTATGCATGCACCTTCATTAAGCAGTTTTAAATTCTATCTATTAGATCATTTGTGTCAATTTTAAATCATGTGTAACTCGTGAGTGACATGTATGCAATTTAATTAGGTTAGCTTTGAGCCGTATTTAAATCTTATTTCATAATTTTTAGTGTCAAATTAGTTTAGTATGCAATATAATTAGGCTAGTTTTGCGCCGCACTTAAATTTTACATTTCACTTCTTAATTTTTTTTGGAATGTTTAATATCGGAGAATATTCTTTGTATGGGGATTTAGTTTCCCCCAATTATTCTCCAGACTGTCATGTACTTTTGCAATTTCTGTGATTTATTTACTTGTACTAGCATGACAAAGTATTATTAAACTTAAACTTAAACTTAAACTTATAATTGTACATGTATGTACAATAATGAATCAAGTTTGATGTTGAAAGACGAATACAAACTAATTAATGCTGGTCTCACAAGCAGAGCAATTCAAGATTATTTTGTGGGCATAATGGTTTCTATTCTGCTACCTGTCACTTGCCCACAGCTGCAACCAAAACAGAATACTACTTAATAACATTTTCACAAGAAAACGACAACAACATCAACTCACGTTCGCACCTTGTCCATGTGAACAACTACAAGTACAAACTGTTATGCCACAGATTAAGACTTTGTTCCCACTTTCAAATGAGAAAGCATTGATTTCTTTCTGGCCTTTGTGGTACTAGTGCTTTCGCTATGAAATGTGACCATTACCAGCTGTACATGTATTTCCTTAACCTACGTTAAATCTGAGTTCAGTTACTGGCCCCACAAGGAAATCCGTCTGCATTTGCAGGCTCATGTACTTAACAAGCAGGAAGTGAACAAATAATTTCCGGCTGATGAGGAGCAGTCCTCTGAAAGCAGTATTACTATTACAATACATGTAAGAGTACTTTATCAAAGGGAAGAACGAAAAAAAGAGAATGAAAGGATGAAAGTTGTGTCAAGCAACATACCCAAGAACTGTTCTAAAAAAGGAAATTCACAGAAAACTGCCACAATCTATAATGAAAATGTACTCGGCTTTGCCATTTTATCAATTAATGACTACAGTTGTTTTCAAATGCAATTACTCCAAAAATCATGTCATATAATTAAATTTATGTTTTGCAATAATTTCATTTAATATATGTAATTTAAGTGTTGATTTTAGCAATAAAGAATGGTTAGATTTTGGTATATCAAATCAATCAAATTTAAGGAGACTGAAGGTTATAAATACATGTAGTAAAAATCCCAACTGGTGGGAGGCTGACCAGTGGGCTATTTACAAAGAATGGAGTCCTAAGACCACCAAACACAAATCCATCTAGTGGGAGGGACGAGGATTTCAGCTCAATACCTCCAGATCACAAATCCGACACCCTCAACCCCTAAGCCACACTTTTTCGCTATGCCTCCCAAAGCATGCACAAAGATTGACTTACATTAAGTACATGTAACACTTCTGGTTCTGGAATGAATGAGCTGAACCAATAATACTGGTCACGAATGTACCTGATACGTTGCAGCATCCAAATTGGAAACGGCTACATACAGCAGGTTATTTTGAACAGTGTAAATGCAAGCAGGTACAAGCATCTTGACCATATCTAGAGGGTGACCAATTGTGATAGAGTATAAGAACTTGAGCCACTCAGCTACACTTTGTTTCTCGCCCAGTAAAACAACCATTGACGAAAAAACCTTAACAATCTCTGTGATCATCACTGCTGTACTGGCAAAGTACATGTCTCCTGGCAGTGTCCGTGTGTATCGCATTGTTAGAATGAGTGATGCATTCTGGACTGTGAGGATGATAAGGCTCCATGCCTTAATGCCAAGTTGGCCACCTGCTTTTAATTTTTTGAAAAAAAAAAAACCAAAACAAAACAAATAGAACAAAATAGAAATCTGTAAATTTTCAGAAACTACATATAACATCTCTACAAAATACTGATGTTTATAATCAATCAAATATTTTCGCTCCCACACGATTGGTCTAAAATCATTCATCACATGACTGAATAATTGCTCTAGTTAAAACAAGGGAACACCTCACTGATATTTCTCAATTTTTGTGTCAAGATAAATATTTGAGGGATAATTAACACAATAGCCTACATTTAGCACAAAAACATGCTTGGATATTCATCCTTGCACATTCCCTGTTCCTCAAAGCTCACAGTTTTCCTTAAGCTATGCTCTCAGACAACAGTTTGCTTCTCTGAACAGATAATGCTCACAGAAAAATATCTGAGCATATTTTCACACCAAATGGAGGCTGTTGTTTATACAGTGTATAACAATACAAAATTAGATTTATTTAGCAATCATTTAAATAAGAAATAAATAATGACTAAATTTATTAACTTAAAGGACATTGTATTAAAGCACAAGAACTCAACATTTTGTCTCCCTGGGGCTATTTACACGTGTACAAAAGTAGCTAAAGAGGCAAGAGAGTAGATTTTACAAGTGTATGCTACAAAGCTCGGCTTGGGAATTGAACTGTTAGGAACGATTTTAGTCGACCATGAACTGCGAGCTGGTTCCGATTTCACAGGATGCATACAAATATATTAAGCCAAAGATCTTTATAAACGAGTGGTTGTCACATTTGATTGGAATACACGAACATGTGGTAAGAAAATTCCCGAACTGATCTCTGAGTCCTGAGGCTTATCGTACCGGCAAAAAAAGAAAAACAACTTGCGATGCCGGCAAAACGAATATCGATAATAATTTTCACTGATATTTGACTTCATACAATGATACAACATATTGAAAATACGTCAATGCAATGAAAAAACATCAAAACAGAAGTTAGATTTAAATTGAAAAAAAAAATATAAAATCAGATTCTTTTAAAAACACAAAGGACCCTCTATTTGTCGACTTACCGGCCGCCATCTTGAAAAGATTCAGAAAGTGATGAATGCCGGGAAATATTTTTCCTAGCGAATACCGCTGGATTAAGCGGCGCCTGCGGATCACGTGATGAAACGGGGATGACAATACACGCTAGAAATATTGAGCTAAAAGGAGGGAGACATTAAGATATTTATATTGCATTGATAGCTTACTGAAGTAGCTCAGTAAATCTTTCAAGTGTACAAATGAGTACTCGAGCGTTATTTTCAAGTACAACGCTGTCAGCGAATTCCAACGCGTACCGGAAATGGGATCCTAGCAATGTTGAGCAAGACACCTACTGCGCATTTTCAGCTCCTGGTGAAAATCTTACATCCATGAAGCAAAACTCACGAAATCATGTCCAAGAAAAAGATAAAGGTAGGTTTAGGAATGTTATATCAGCTTAATTAATCTTAAGGTGTATGCAGTTTCCGTCCGCCATGTCACCGAATCCTGTTACGTTCAGTTCAAATGGCGCGTAAACATACAGTAAGCTTACAGTACATGTATTTTGATGCAAATTTACAATTGTACACCTATAAATTTTTCACGATTTTACATGTAACTGAAAGAAATCGCTGGTTCTCGGGTTTGAGAAGGTCAGTGGTGCGTATAGTACCTGGTGTTTTCCCCAGAGAAGAAGACTGCCGGCCTCTTCAGTCATTTCATTTCCCTCCCAATTTTCTGATCGCTGTATCATTTGATGTGGCGATCACATGAATTGCGAAATACGAAATCCACCCACCCCGGGAATTTCTCTTGTTTAATTTACGGTTGATCAAGTGCCCATCCTCCAGGCGAAAAAAATTAGGGTCTTCAAATGTTTTACCTTATATTGGTCCGGGTCATACAGTAGGCTTAAAAATATAATTTTAAAATATAGCCAGGCAATCAAATCCCCCTTCCCCTAGTAGCAGAAATAAGAAATGGAACAAAATATATCAAGAATGATAATAAGCATCTTTGAACACCCACATTTAACTCCCACAGTATCACAAGTTTTTTTGCTATATATTATTAAAATATACAGTAAAGGTGATGATTTTTTGTGTGATGTGATGTGAAATTTGATACCACTGAGGCATATAAAATCAGTGGATGATGGTAGATTTAAAGAGACACAGTCAGCTTTGGGACTGCGCTGACCTGGACACTAGTTTTTCTCACTTCAAATGAAAAAAGTTCACCTCAACTTGAAATCAAAGTACATGTAGAAATCTGCTTCAGTCTTTGCAGTATTTTGCTTGATTTTGAATCATTTACTGAAAAACCTGGTTTTGAGTGTGCTTTAGCTCATCCTGTGATATTATCTTTATCTTATTTGGTTGAAAACAGTATGGATCGTGTCTTTGTGATATGGAAATTAGCTACGAAATGGTATCTAATGCACATGTGCGCCAGCTGACTGTGTCCCTTTAATAGTGGCCCGGGTAACTCTGCAATGGCCACAGATGTACATTGTACAGTGCCAAATAGAAAAACTTACATTGTACTGCTTTCATGATTGCATTTCAGAAACTACACCATTTACTTCCTCAGCATTATTTAGGACCATCATATTTGTTGTCCTAACACTCCAAGCGACATGTTACTTTTCACTGCTTCGGTACTCCAGAACAAGACCAAACAAAATGTATTTCTCTTCTACGGCTGTGTTCCTGGCAGAAGTTGTCAAGCTCTTGGTGACGCTGGTGGTGATATTTTTTCAGTGTGGAAATCTAAGAGACTTTGTTTTATTTCTAATCAACAATTTGTTCACAAATCCTATGGCTACTATCAAGCTCTCTGTTCCATCTGTGTTATACGTTATACAGAACAACCTTGTTTATGTTGCAATGACGCATCTGGAATCAACTACTTTTCAGGTATGCCGAATAAGTTCAGTTTGATTCTTTCTCTCAGGTTTGTTTGTTTACAGAACAGCTGTAAGTTGCTTTATCTACCAGTGTCAGCACATGAAGACTTATAGCCAAGATTGAAGAGTGGACTGGGCATCCAAAAATTTCCTGGGGGCCTACGGTGCTACCCTCCTAGGGTTTAATTAGGGATGGGCAAAATGTATTTAAGCATAATTAAGGTGTATTTTTGCAGTGTTGAATCTGTACATAGCAAATTGGGATCCATGGGTACCTGGCACTCATCTAAATACAAGCCAGCTGAACATACGAGTTCTTGCTGAACCAGAATATAATTTTTTTTAGTGTTTGAACTGACAAGAAAGACATTTTTAATTTATAATGTGGTCATGACAATTTTGTCATAGAGATTCTGAGTGGGAGCCATGTAGAACTTTTTGTTTAAAAAACTTATGAAGGAGTGGAGTCTCTTAATACTGCTGTTTGTGATATATGTATCCACACCCGTTGTAAGCTGTGATACACAAGTCATGTACATGTACATGTATGGACCATGAACACTTTCCTTAATCAAAGCACTTAGCTGTTCATCAGTTCTAGATCTACAGTGCAGTTATTTCATATTCCCTTATAAGTCATTTTTAAAGGAATTAAATCTACCTACTAGGTACATTGCCTAGCAACCTATGGAGGGCATAATAAGAGTCTGAGAAAAAAAATACATGTTTCTTGTTCCTAGCTCAGTCACGGCATTTTGAGTTATTTTGGCCATGTACAAAAAAACTTTTAAATTGAAGGAAACCTGAAAATTAGTCATTCGCTCAGATAGAAAAACACCATTTGAAGAGGTAATAATAAACCATAAAGGAACAAGGATGGTTAAGGATGGATAGGATTAACATGAATTACAAACGACAAACTTGAAAAATTTGCCAGCTTAACTATTCAAGACAGGCAAACCATGAGGTATTCCTTAGGATACTTAAAGGTGTGCATTGTACATGTACATTGTGTATAATTATGTGACTTTATGAAGTCAGAAAATCTCTAATAAGAAAAAATTTTGAAAAATATTTAAGCTTTAAAATTAATGAAAATTGAGCAACATGGTGTTTTGACAACTTCATGTCATCATTGTCAAATTATGAATAAATTACAAATAACGGCAGGGCATATTTATAGCTGGAAATAAGGATTTGAGGAAACAAGTAATTAGAAAAGGTGACATGAAAGCATTCACAGTGTTTTAACGTGAAATTATGTTATTTAAAACGTGTTTAGACTACATATGCAGTACACAGCATATAGTGCACCACTTAAATCAATTACTAACAGTTTCAATTTTTATATCTTTTTCAGATCACCAACCAGCTTAAAATCCTTACAACTGCAATCTTCTCCATTGCTTTGCTCAACAAACAGCTAACAAGAATAAAATGGGTGTCTTTGATTCTTTTATCTGTGGGTGTCACCATGGTTCAAATTGATTCACACACTTCAGTAACCACAAGTTTACTAACAGACAGTGATAATACAAAAAAAGAACAATCTGTGCCTCTTGGTATGACTGCAGTTCTTGCCGCTTCCTTAGTGTCGGGATTTGCAGGTGTTTACATGGAGAAAATCTTCAAGAAACAGAGAAGGACTTCATTTTGGATCTCAAATGCCCAACTGTACACTTTTGGAATGTTTTTAGGGTTAATAGGTGTCATTTACCAAGATGGGGTTGAAATTTCTAGGATGGGATTCTTTTATGGATATGACATTGTAGTTTGTCTGGTTATACTGTTTGCATCTGCTGGTGGTATTATTGTCTCACTAATCTTAAAGTATGCCTCATGTATAACTAAAGGATTTGCGACATCTTGCGCCATTGTTCTTTCTAGTATTATTTCAGTGTATTTATTTGATTTTGTTCCAAGTGTTTTGTTTGTTGCGGGTGCTTTATCTGTTATTGCTGCAGTTTTGCTGTACAGTTAATGGCGTTTACTTAGTTTGTTTTTTCACATGTTCTGTGTTATACACCAATGTAAAATGCTACCTGTCCAGTGGTCCCTCCTTCGCTTGGTCCATCGTGCATGACGCGCAAGAAAACCACCAGAAAAAAATGGCCATTTATTCCTCCCACTGCCAGTTTTCCTTGCAGTTTATTTACAGTCTCACTCAAATGACCAGGCAAAAGAGGGACTACTCGTAGTCTACCCGCATCATGGATACAGAAAGAAAACAAAGGTTGCTGTTAATTCAATGTGCAAAGATTATAGTAATGGAGCTTGTAGATTTTTTTGGTCAGGGTATTGTATTCTATCTGTCACTTGCCCAATGGGAAGTGAATTTTTTGGGGGTAAAATTTGATTAATTTCAAATTAGAGATTGAAGTGCTCTAAGAGTACTCTAATTACTTACTGATGATCTAATATTCACTTAGTATACTCTAATTCTAGTTCTTTTATAATTCATTCCACTACACTGAGTGAAAGTCAATTCTGTGCATTTTAGGACGATTTTCTATACAATTAATTATTGAATGTGTTCAGTACTGTTGTAACATAGATTGTAAAACAATTTGTAAAATAAGATCTAATTTGCCGGATGCATTATAGAAGAAAATTTTGAAATTAGAATTATCAAGACTTGATAATTCTAATTTCAAAATTTGAAAGGGAAAGTAACAGTTTAGTTATGAATTTACATGTAATTCGATGTCAAGTAATTATTAAAAATGGGTTATAATTTATGCAGATTGGTAGACAGAATTTAACCATACATGAAGCGTTGTAGAAAAGTGGGAACATACAGTGCATGCTACCAGCATTGTTTGTATAATGTAGGAGGAATGTTAGGGTAGAAAATGTTAAAATCCAGGCCTGATTGATCGGCTGAAGATAAGTCATAGACAAGTTGTGATCTTTGAAAGAACTAAATAATACTATTAATCATATCTATAGCAAAATTCTCGATTGTGATTGGTTCTCCGCACGCCTATTTGTCACGTGGGTGCACGATCACGGGGGTGTCCAGTTACAATTATCTAATTTCGGCTTCTTGTAATTGCATACCTTCGCTATTCGCACGTCAATTACGTGAGCTTCAATGGCTTCCTTCATGTTCCCTATAGTTTTGACAATTTATGGAAAACATTACTGACTTTTTGCTGTAAAGAAGTTCTCAAAAGACTTTTTTAATCTTGAAATTTGTTATTGATACGATTAATTAGTAACTGGACCTCGTGACGTACAGTTTAGGGGGGGGGGCTAATCGTGCTGGTAAATTTAAATCGGCCTTGCACTGCGCGTTCGTCCGATTTTGAAATTACTCGCCCAATTACTCCCTGTATTGTACTCCACTCGGTCCAGTTACTAATAGCCTCAGTCAAAAGGCCATTTTGCGAATGCAAATATTTCCTAGTTCCATTCCCTTGTGGGGGCAAGAAGTGATCACTCGGCCAAAAATGGCCTCATTTAATTAGATCAAATTTTGCCCCCACAAGGGACTGGAGCTAGCATTAGCAAAATGGTGTATTCCTATCTAGTCTACCTGTAAATGTGCTTGTAATTTCAAATCGGCCTCGTGCTTCGCGCTCGTCCGATTTTGAAATTACTCGCGCGATTACTCCCTGAATTGTACTCCACTCCGTCCAATCACTATTACTAATAATTGTTTATATGAAACAAACAGAATCTATTAGGGTTATGAATAAAGCTCTAAAAATTGCATATCTAAATTTCACCTCGCTCTGAATATCCCAATAAAGTTGAATAGAACGTTAATCGGCTCGTGTGGTGTTTTTTCGCCTTCCTGGGCCGTCTGAAGCGTTTTTTTACGAAAGTACTGGCCGGATACCGGTCAGACAAGTGAGACAGAGTGGTCTACCCGTGCTGTAATTCGGGTCCAAATTCGCAGCTGAATGTTTTCCAATCCATCAAGTTGTAGCATGGCATTTCAGGGTCTTAGTTTATGATCTGACTTGCTGCATACGAATATGAAAAGCTCTGAAAGTTTACCATCCAATGCAAGCAACTTAGTACAAACTCCAACAATTATTCAAAGTAAATTTGCTTTACGAAAGCCAAGGGGTTATTTCGTTGCCATGGTCTCTCTTCTCGGCCTCCCTCTCGCTCCAAGGGGGGAGGGGAAGGGGGAAATGAAAAACAAAAACAAATAAAAATGAGGTTAAATGTTTGTGCAAATGTTCCAATGAAATAAGACAATGCCTTGGTTGAATAAATTGATGCCCAACTCGTCCAAAGTAAATTTTATTGTTTTCTTAATTTGTCTCTTAGCACATATCATTGACGCATGCGTGCTAGTGAATTTTTCTTGTGCCGACTGGCTCGTCCCAGGCCTTCCTGCAATGGTTTATAATCCAGTTGTGTTCTTTTTCATCTATGAAACAACAAATACGGTGTTCTAATTTTCATTTACCAGACGAATTATGGCTATTACCTTTCATTAGCTTAGATTACTTTTATATGAGAATAAGCGGACCTGAGAAAAGACTTTGTCTTGTTTTTGAAGTGCTTTCCATAAGTCTTCCCAATCTGATCTTAAGATTACTTCTCATATTGCAGTTTTGCAATTTTCTGATCAACCATGAAAAAATCAAGAACAATTCACAAAATTTTCGCTCTTTCTGTTGGCCGAAATAACGCCAAGGTTAGCTCGTTTACACCAGCTAATGGTAACAAGACACACGTATATACTTTGAAACGGCTGCAAGTCTGGAGTCTGCACTAGTTTAACCATCGGTATGTGGCGAATAGATTGGATACTGGATCGAGCGGTTCAGGCTCGAAGCGCTGTCGGGGGACATTGAATTGTAGTCTTGGGCAGGAAACGTCTTTTCCTCTCTTCACCTTGGCTCGTTTACCAGCTGCTGTTCGGGAAAGGAACCCCTTCCTCTCGGAGAAAAACTGCGGGAACCGAACCTGCGAGAGCGGTGATAACCGAGCCCAATTTTCACCCAGGAGTGCAGATTGCACTGCCGGTGAGTTCCCAGTTGCTTAATGATACGGTATTCGGTCGTTTAGTCTTCAAGTCGATCAATCAATCAATCAATCAGTCAATCAATCAATCAACCGTTCAGCCCCCAACCAGAAGTCGAAAACACTGTCTATTTCTCAGCGTCAATGGGGGCTAATGGATTGGGGACTTACTGACTAGCATGGCTAGGGCTAATCGACTTGGGGGCGAAACGACCTGTGCAAAAATCCCTCCGGCACTGAAGTGACATATGTGCTTTCTTTGAAGATTGGAACATATTCTTTACCTATGCTTTCTCATGCAGCGCGTTTTAACTTACCAGTGTTGCGTAAAAAGACGAAGTCATAGTTAACAACCTTCCTTGTGACTGGGTCATAAAACCCATCACCACAGTCGTACATTCCTTCCGGTATGGTCTGAGGTGGATCCTGATTGGTCAGTTGAGATCGACCTTGTAGCAAAGAAACTCCTTTAAATGATTTGCTGTATTTTTGAGGGGCTCCCAGGGATTTGGGGGGACAAGGGAACACAGACCAGTTGTCTCAAGGGAACATGGGATATTTTTGGGATTAATTTGAGGGAACAAGGGATACCTCTACTATTAAAGGGAACTTTGACAAAACCTTTTAGACGGAGAACACGCAATGGAATTTATCAATAGGGAACAAGGGAGAAAAGATAAAATTTTCAAGGGATCGAGTGAAAAATCTACCTCCCCCTTCCCACCTACCCCCCCCCGCCCCCGTCGTGGAAGGCCCTCGTTCTATATTTTGGGGCTCTTGTGAATTTATTTCCAACTCTATAAAGAGTCTGAATTTCAACCCGAAAGTCGCAAATGCCCCGCTCTTGCCTGTCGATATTTCACGCCGTCGAAAAGCAAGAGACCGGAAATCAGTCTACGTTCGCATACTTACTAACTCAGTGCAAAAATCGAAACCATTGCACGCAACCACTGATCCGGGGGAGGCAAATTCCAGCCTCATTCCCCGGACCCTGGGAACGAGGTTAAGACAAAATCAAGTTCTGTAGAGTTACGTCATCAGTATGGACATATACTGGTCAAATGTCAGAACTGAGGGGGAGGGTGGAGGGAAGCGTTTTGTTTTTTCGCTGTAATATGGACCGGTTGCTAAAAAAGGCGATGTATTGCAGATTAGAAGAGTAAATTTAATGAGATTAAACTACCAGCCGGTTTTATTCCATTTTCATCCTCAGATTTGAAAACTCTGTCGACGTCGCCATCGCAGTAATTCCAGATGTCCATTTCCATTCGAAGCCCATCTGCAAATTCAAAGTATCCCTACGGAGGGAAAAAAAAAGTTCATAACTTACGTAAAAACACGTCACAAAGATCCCTTATCTTATTGTTAATTTAAAAGTTGCTTATCGGTGGAGAGAAAAATTCTCACATTCCGAGTAAAAACAAATACTGGTAAACAAATGATCTCATTTATCATTGGCCATTGATCTTTGGCAC